CTGTGACTCTAGTGTGTAACACATGTTCACTTGATGGTTTGGTTCTGGTTTTGCTAATTCTTGTTAACAACTGATATTAGCTTGAAGGCAAAAGCCAGGTTTCTAGATCAATTGACTGGTCAGGAGATTCTGATAGAAGCAGCTGAATAATGATATACAAATAAGATGTCAAGCAATACACAACACTCCTAACAGCCTCCAGTGCCATGTTCGAGTCCCTTGGATGGCTTTAAACCTGTCCCAGCTGCTCACATTCTCCTGCCCCTGAGATTCCTGAACCTGGCTGGGCCTCGACTATTCTTGTTCTTGGTAGTGTTCTGACTTGACGGAAGAGACTGCTCCAACTCTCTCTTTTTGACATCCCAGTCTTCATCACACTGATCTAGCAGCAGCCCGTTCTGCTCAGCAACGCGGCGGTGGTCTCTGCACTCCATCTCTGCCCTAAAAACGGGAGAAAAGACAAATTTCTTAACACCTGGAGCAAGAGAGCCAGCCCTCTTTGGCTTTGGAATCTCTGTCTCTTCCTGCTTTCTAGGAGGTCTGAGAGTACCGTTGATCAAACACTAGACTGTTAACCAAAAAATGACAAATTCTAATTCACTACCCACTCTATAGGAGAAAGATGACTCTGTTTCCATGAAAACGTACGGCCTTGGAAACCTCACTGGGCAGTGCTGCTCTGTCCAATGTGCTCACTATGAGTTGTGTCACAACAGCAGTGGGTAGTATATTGTTCCAACTTTCTGAATGCACTATAAGTATTCAGCAGCCCATGTGGAGTAAAGGAGGCCAAGTATGTGCACTGCAATGTGAAAATTCAGGGAAATCTTAGACACTAAAGAAAGTGTCATGAAGTAGAAGGAAAAATTGGTGTGACCTCCCCAAACTCATGGCAACCCTCCCTCAGATTTTGAAGGTAAGAATCTTTTCTATTGATGCATTAATTTTCAAAATATCTTTTTCTCCCTTCTCCCTCTATTTTCATCTCTCCTAACCTCCCAAGATTAATTTTTCCTGTTTGTAAATCATTTCTCGCTTTTAAAAAATTAGTATTCTAATACTTCACCAAAGAAGACATTCAGATGGCCAACAAGCACATGAAGAAATGTTCAAAATCCCTAGCTCTAAGAGAGATGCAAATCAAAACAACTATGAGATATCATCTCACCCCAGTAAGAATAGCAAAATTTAACAGAACAGCAAGCAACAAATGCTGGTGAGGTTGTGGAGAAACTGGAACTCTTATTCACTGTTGGTGGGAGTGTAAAATGGTGCAACCACTCTGGAAGGCGGTATGGCGCTTTCTCAAAAAATTGCAAATAGAGATACATTTGACCCAACAATTCCACTACTGGGAATGTATCCCAAAGAGACCATAACTGACATCCAAGCAGATAGATGCACACCCATGTTTATCGTGGCTTTGTTCACAATAGCAAGGAGTTGGAAACAACCCAGGTGCCCATTAACAAATGAATGGATAGAGAAGCTGTGGTATATTCACACAATGGAATACTATGCTGCATTGAAAAACAAGGAACTCATGCAATATTATTCAAAATGGGTGAGCCTGGAGGACATTATGCTGAGTGAAGTATCTCAGTTGCAAAAGGACAAATATTGCATGGTGCCACTGATGTAACATGGGACTGATATCAGGGTGGGGGTAAGACTGAGAAAAACTGGATAAATTATGTATATTGCACTGAAACAGATAAGGGAGTGAATAATTTAAAAGCAATATATGATAGGGTATTATGGTTATCACAAGAGTCCACAATTAAGGTTGCATAGGAATGTACTTGGGGAGGTGGGAGGGGTGCGGGGGGATTATGTACGAGGGAGGCAATGTTTCTTTTACTTTTGAAAGAGAGGAGCGAACTGGGGGGGGGCGCTGGACGGGGAGAGAAGTGCAGCAATGAATGAATGGAAATCCAAAATCTCTGTAAATGTTCATTAAAATTATTAAAAAAATTAGTATTCTAATGGTAAGAGGCTGTGCTGCCAACCCAAAGGCATATAGTTCAAATCCACCAGCTGCTTCTAGAGAGAAAGGTGAGCAATCAATCAACCCCTGTGCAATTTACTGCCTTTGAAAGCATGATGGAGGGTCAGCTGTGAGTCAGTTCCAACTTGATGGCACATATCAACAACATACCATAATGGTATATTTGTCAACGACTTATGTTACTCAACATAATTTATTCTGATTTCACCCTATTGTACAGTGTTGCATTAATTCTTGGCCATCTTTTAATGATTCATAATACTCTATTTTGTGACTGCACCACAGTTCTCTAGCTATTCTGAAGCTGTAAATCTTTATGGAAGCAAACCACCCAATTTCCCCCTAAAGTGACTGATAGAGTCAAATCACCCACTTTTCAGTTACTGAATCAAAATGTAATACACTACGCCACCAGCAATATTTTTCTAGAAGCAAAGACAGTGACATGCTTAGCTGGAGAAAGCACTAATAATTCTTACAATTTTCATATCTATAGAGCAATCAACACATTATTGGGACCGATATTTCAGTCATTTATGTTTTAATTGTGTTTTTTTCCTACTTATAACAATTACACATCTTCATTGCATGAAATTTAGAAAAACATAAACATGTAAGAAAATAAAAATAATTGCTTCTTACATGTTTATTGTATATGTTGATGGATTACAACAAAAAAAAAAACCAAAATAAAAGCAACTAATTGCTAACAAGTTGGGACAGATTCAGAAGTGACCATTCAGTGAGTTTTCAGAGGCAGTAAAGTGCAGGCCAGGAGACTGCTCATCTTCCTCCCATGGAGCAGCTGATGGATTTGAACTGTGTGCCTTTGAGTTGGAAGCACAACTCCTTACCACTAAGCCACCAGAGCTGACAGCAGAACTCAAAAGTATTTCGGGATTGAGTAAATTATTACATAGGAAGGTTGGATCAAAGTTTAATTGGTCTATTAATGATCTCCAGAATCTTGAAAATATGATCAAATGCTGCATAATTAAAATTCTCTTCTTTCTTCTCTACCTCTGCCTGCATCTTCCTAGAACAGGCACTCCCATACTGAAGGGATGAATGATTAGCAATTTCCTTAGGCAATCTCATTGCCCAGAGTCTTAATGGCCCCAGTCCTACTTTTTGCCTCTGTTGCCACCATCTCTACTGCTCAAGTAACTTTCTAAACAATATATGTCGTCTTGAGAATTCACTCATGAGTCCACACTCATCTGTTTAACCATCTCACTAAGGTCACCATCCATTTACTTCTTGCCAGCACAAATGTTCCACTCACCCAGACCACCTACTCCCACCACGAGCCTCCCTCCTGCACGAACATCTACAGAACGTATGCACAAATACAACTTGACACCTTTACCCCATTCCAACAATCCCCTTCTTTACTCTTGACTCCGGTCTTAATTACCTTTCAGGATTTCCTGGATGGCACAGATAGTTCAGCCCTGGACTACTAACCACAAAAGTTGGTGGCTTGAAATCACCCCGCAGTTTTGAAGAAGAAACTCCAGAGCCTTGGAAGAAGTGACCGACACTATGCTTCTGAAAGGTCACAGCTTTGACAACCCTATAAAGCTGGTCTACTCTACAGCACACAGGCATGACTTGAGTGAACCACTGAGAACTGGGGAGTTTGTTCTGTCTTAGCTGACATTCAAGGTCCATATTTAATTCCCCTTTATTTATGATTCTTTTTGTCAGAAGCTAAGTTCCCAGTGGGCGATGCTGGTGAAGAGAAATGACTTGCACATGATGTGTTTGACCTTTCTTGGCTTTGTCTTCTCAACTCCAACTTCTCCTTTTTCTTGGCAGCAACAGTCCTTGTTGCGGTGACAAACCACTTCTCCTTCACTCAGTGATGCTGGGATTGTCTGCTGATCACACGGGTAGGGAGGAGATGACAGAGGAAGTTATTAAAGGAGAGCCAAAGACAGATCCTGGAGGGTGTTCAGTATCTAAAAGGACTGAAAAAAAAAGTTAAGTGTTAGGGTGGAGTCCAGGAGGGGAGAAAGGAGAAGAAATACTCAGAGAGGTGAAAGAGGACAAGAAAAACATAGGGGAAAGCAAGGGAGAAGACATTCAGGAATGTCAAATGGTAAATAAAGTGGAGGTGAGATGGAGGATGTAAAGAATTCATTAATTAGTAACTACAAACAGTTCCAGACTTGCTGGTAATTTTCCTGAGAACAGATTTGGTTCAAATGTTTACTCCTGGTGCAGTGGTTCCAGGTTTATTTCTGGCGTTTGTATGAGAGAGAGAGAGACATTCATAGATCAACAGAAGTTTTCAAATACAGAAGGATCTTCATCTATGGTAGCTTAAGTCTCTGCCTCCTTTTAAAAGATGAAGAGATTAAGGGTAGGAAGGGACTTTCCTGAGATCAAGCTGATGGATGGAGCTTTAGAAGAATAAGAAGTAGGCCTAGAAATCTTGAGCCATGTCACATCTTCAAACTTGGTGTCCCCTCCTCTTATTTGAGGCATTTGATGGTAAGGATGATGGTACTTTGAGTGTCAGTTCACAGAGCAGCTGGTCCTTCCTTCCTTCATATAGATTTTGTTGTACAGCATCCATCCATTGCAGTCTCCACTCTGGAGCAGCAATCTGTCTCCTACCATTCTGATCCTTATTCCCACTAATTCCTCTATCCTACCCTTTCCTCAAGGTTAGCCACAATTTGTTGTGAACCACACAGTCAAATGTCTTTGCACAGTCAATGAAACACAGATAGACATTCTCCTGCTACTCTTTCTGCCAAGATCCATCTGACATTGGCAGTAATGTCTCTATTGCCACAGCCTCTTCTAAACCCAGCTTGTATATCTGGTAGTTCTCTGTCAATGTACTATTCTAGTCATTTCTGGATATTCTTCAGCAGGATTTTGTTAGTGTGTGATATTAGTGATATTGTTCAATAATTTCCACACTCTGTCAAGTCACCATTTTTCTTTTTAACTGGATCTTAAAAATATTGTGGCTAACCTTGAGGAAAATGCAAATCCCAGAACACTTGATTGTGCTTATGTGAAATCTATACTTGGACCAGGAGCACTCCTCAGAACAGAGCAGGGGAACATTGCAAGTTCCGAAATCAGGAAAAGATTGAGTCAGGCATGCATCCTGTCTCCAAACCTTTTCAATCTATATGCAGAACAGATCATTCAGGAAGCAATGGCTTTATGAAGAAGAATGTGGCATCAAGATTGGAGGAAGACTCATCAACAACCTATGTTATGCAGATGACACAGCCTTCCTTACTGAAACTGAAGAAGACCTGAAGAGCTTGGTGCAGAATGTCAAGGACTGTAATCTTCAATATGGATTGAAGCTCAACATCAAGATTCTCACCTCTGGACCAACTGGCAGCACCATGATGGATGGAGAAGAGATTGAAGTTGTTAACAATTAGAGCTTGCTTGGATCCACAATCAACACTCTTAAAACTACCAATCAGGAAATCAAAAGATTAATTGCATTGGGAAAATCTAATGTCATAAACCTTGACATGTTCCAACAAACAGACACTGCCCTGGATGTGCTAAGTTATGCCAAGAAATCTGCAGGACAGCCAGCTGGCCAACTGACTGGAAAAGATAGGTATTAGTTCCCATTCCAAAGAAAGGTGACCCAACAGAGTGCTGAAATTATCTAACAATATCATTAATATCACATGCAAGCAAAATTCTGCTGAAAATTATCCAAAAATGTTCGGAACAATATGTAAACAGAGAACAGCCTGGAGTGCAGGCTGGATTTAGAAGAGGTTGTGGTACTAGGGATATTATAGCTAATGTTAGATGGATCTTGGCAGAAAGCAAAGAATACCAGAAGAATGTCTACCCGTGCTTCATTGACTTTGCAAAGGCTTTTGACTGTGTAGATCACAACAAGCTGTGGCTGACTCTGGGAAGAATGGGAATCCCAGAACGTTTGATTGTCCTAATGCAAAACCTATATTTGGGCCAAGAGCAGTCGTCAGAACAAAGTAAGGAGACTACATGGTTCAAAAGCAAGAAGGGGGTCTATCAGGGATGTATTCTGTCTCCATACCTTTTCAATCTGTGTGCAAAACAGATCATCTGAGATGCTGGCCTGTACAGGAGGAATGTGGCATCAGGATTGGTGGAAAAGTCATCAACAGCCTGCATTTTGCAGATGACACAACCCTGCTTGCAGAAACTGAGGAGGACCTTAAGCGCTTGCTGCAGAAGGTCAAGGACTGCAGCCTCCTATATGGATAGAAGCTCAACATCAAGAAAACAATGATTCTCACCACTGGACCAATTGGCCGCATTAGTATGGATGGTGAAGAGATTGAGCCAGTTAACAGTTTTAGTTTATTTGGCTCCACAGTCAATACTCTTGGTAACAGCAGCCAGGAAATCAAGAGATGAATTGCATTGGAAAAGTCAGCTGGGAGGGACCTCTCAAGAGCAATGATGTCAGGCTGGAGACTAAGATGCGCCTAATCTGAACTATCGTCTTCGCAATTACATGCTATGCATTGGAGAGCTGGACAGTGAGTAGGGATGTCAGAAAGAGAATTGATGTCTTTGAGCTGTGGTACTGGAGAAGAGTGTACTGGAGAATATACTATGGACTGCTAGGAGAACAAACGGGTTTGTCCTGGAAAGGGTGAAGCCAGAAGATTCTGAAGCTTCGTCTGACATACTTTTGGCATGTTGCAAGGAGGGACTGGTTCTTGGAGAGGGACATCATGTTTGGGAGAGTGGAGGGACGTCCCAGGAGAGGAAGACCCTCGATGAGATGGATCGATTCTGTGAGTGGAGTGGCGGGAATGAGTGTGTTAGAAATGGCAAGGTTGGCACAGCATAGAACGGCATTTAGAGCTATTGTACATAGGGTCACTATGAGTTGCAAGCGACTCGATGGCACATAACAACAACATAGACCTCTCCAGAGTGCTGAAAAGCAACTACATCAGTCTGGAGTCTAAGGTGTACCTAATCAGGTACTGGTCTTTACAATTATTTGTTATGCTTCAGAGAGCTGGACAATGACCAAGGATGACAGAAAAAGAATCAAAACCTTTAAGTTGTGGTGCTGGAGAAAAGTCTTGAACATACCATAGACTGCCAAAAAAACAAATTGGTCTGTCTTGGAGAGGATGAAATGAAGTTTCTCTTTGGAGGCTAGGATTTTTGAAGCTCCGTCACACAGACTTTGGGCTCATGGCCAGGAGAGACTGGTCTTTGGAGAAGAACATCATGTTTGGAAGGGTGGAGGGACAGTGCAGGAGAAGATCCCAGATAAGATGGACTGATACTGAGGCAGTGGGAGTTGGTGTCAGAATTAGCGAGATTGACTCAGGACAGGGCAGGCTTCAGAGCTGCTGTACAAAGGGCCATTATTGATTGCAGGCTGCTCAATGGCACATAACAACAACAACAACAACCCTTTCCTACCTCCTAATCTTGTATAAGTGATTATTCTAAGGTTCGAGTACTTTGCTCGTGTTAGGTTCAACCTAAAAGTCTGTCTTTTACTTAACTGAAAGTTTTTTGGTTTTTTTTCTTTTTTACTGTTTTATAAATAACCCAAAAGGTGATAGAAAAGTATTTTTGCCATAAATTTGTTGCTAGTGTTAACTGAAAGTTGAGCCACAAAGGTATGTTCAGTTCTAGGATCAAATTTTACTTTGAAAAACCATACTCTTTGAAGTTCCACTGGTATCTTTTAGACCAGCAAACAATCCAAAGTAATTTTTTAATGAGTTATTGTTATTGTTACATGCTAATGAGTCATCTGGCACTGATAGAGACTCTATGCACAATAGCTCTGAACACTGTCCTGAGCCAATCTCATTGTCTCCGACTCACCTACCCACATTATGCCAGTCACGGTGTCAATCCATCTCATCTCATCCAGGCTCTTCTTCTTTCCACCTTTTCAAAGGACTTTCTCTAAGGGCTGATCCCTCCCAGCAATATGCCCAAAGTATGTGAGATGGAGCTTTGAAAATCATTGCCTGTAAAAGCAACTTCATTTCATCTGCTCCAGGACAAAACTGTTTGTTCTTTTGGCAGTCCATGGAGTGTTCAACACTTTGCTCCAGTATCACAGCTCAAAGATACCAATTCTTCTTCTGTCATCCTTAGTCATTGTCCAGACCATGACCTGGGTAGATTAATATAATTTCTTCAAAACCTGGTCATTCCAGTGAAAAAATCATCAAAACAACTCAAAACAGCAATGACATGCTTGGATTTGCTCAGTTCACTTACACAGATCTCAATGTTGTCTACTTTTTTGGATTGGAGAGAAAAGAAACTTACTTCTCTAAGAATGCCACACATGATTTCTGCCCATAAATCTGTGCAATCCTCTTGGGTGTGTCTCCGAAGAAGTCGGGAGCATCGATGGCGGCGTGCAGAGCATGCAGAGTTTTGAGCACGTTCAGGTGGCCAGACTCAGCTGCGAAATGAGCTGGGGTCCAGCCCACATCAGTTACCAGGCAGGGTCTGGCTCCATGTTCCAGCAGGAGGTTCAGCACCTCCATTTGCCCTTAGACGGAACAAGAGGAAAGAAGAGGAGGTTACAAGAACCAGTTTCTGCCAGCCGGGGTCCAGGGTCAGCCTTGATCATACAGAAAAATCCCAGCACAAACAAAACCCAAAACCAAACACATCACCTGTCAAGCTGAGTGTGACACACGGCAACCCCATGTGTTATGGAGGAGAGCTGCTGCATAGAACCTTATTCAACTCATTGCTATCCAGTTGAAACCAATCCATAGCAGATCCTCCATTGGGTTTCCAAGGTTAGATTGCGTAGAAGGAGAGTGTCTAGCTTTCTCTTGAAGATTGGCTAGTGGATCTGAACCAACAGAGACTGGCAGTGCAACTCAACGTACTGTGTCATGAGAGCTCCCTTCCCTAAATTTCCCCCTCTCTCTTTTTATCTTTTCCCTCTCCCCTCTTCTTTCTTCTTCTTCTTCCTCTTCCTCCTCCTCTTCCTTTCTCCTCTTCCTCTTCTTCATCTTCCTCTCCTCCTCTTCCTTCTCCTTCTTCTTCTTCCTGCTCTCCCTCCCCTCCCCTCCCCTCCCCTTCCTTTCCCTTCCCTTCTCTTCTCTTCTCGCCTCTCTCCCCACCCCCACCCCGTAGAGATGGAATTGATTCAGAGTGGACCCTCCAGGGCTGTAAATCCCACAGGAAGACATTGTTAATCTTTCTCCTGTGGAGTCACTGGTGAATTCAAACTGGAGAGATCTGGCCTTGGAGTCAGCAACACAACTGCTACTAACTATGCCACCAGAGCGTCCCCAAATGAGCTGCTGAAAATTCTAGGGAGCACATATCTACCCAGACACACATGGGGCTGTGACTCTGCAGAAACTGGCTTTTTGTTCAAGTTCATTCTGCACTCAGAAGTCACAGTGCAATTTTTTTAAAGTAATTTTTTATATAATGTAGGTTCTGCTTACCTTATAAAAAGACTAACAGCCCAGCTGCTCCAGTCAAATAGCTATGGGCTCAATTTCTAGCAATACCACTCACTAATCATGGCACCTAAGACAAGAGGGCTCAGAGGCTCTGTTCCCACATATGTAGATTGAAAGTATTGCCACTTAGCTCATCATGTGCTTGTGAAGTTGAAATAAAACCACAAGTAAAAAGTACACAGTACAGTTCCCTTGTTGTTGTTGTTTGGTGCCATATAGGGAGTATATAAATAATGGATCTGAACCCTGACCTGTCCTGCACCATCCTCACAATCTCTGGTATGCTCAATCCCACTGTTGTGATCCCAGGGTCAATCCATCCTGTTGTTGATGATCTTCCTCTCTTTCACGGACCCTTTACTTTTGCAAGCATGACACCTTTTCCCGAGGACTAGCCTCTCCTGACAACACGAGAATCAAATAATAAATGTTCACTAAAAGATGTAGGTTAGGTGACCATCATTTAACATTTTTATTTCTGCAAAATAAATCTCTACTGACTTTTCTTCAATTATTCTTGCCTCCTGCCAACTCACTTTCCACACAAGAGACAAACAACTTATCAAAAGCCCAAGAGTAGTTCTTTCTGATGCAATGATATTCTGTTGTCAAAGCCCTTCACAAGTTTAGTGACCAGGTTTTTTCCACTGTCTACCTGCCATTCTGCAACCAAGTCATGTTAACAATGGGGGAGGAGAGAAGAGGGACAATAGTCACTGATGACAGACTATTATTGGACATTATCTTAATGAATTTATTATTATTATTATTATTAATTTCAATGAACATTTACAGAGATTTTGG